TGCCTATAAGCACTGTATGTCTTCTATTACTTAACCTGAATCATTTATCACAACTGTTCTGAAATAGCTATTTCCCGTGTCATAATTAACACATCTAGTTTTTAACACATATGTAGAGTGGCACCCTAAATGGAAAATTCAGTATTTGGAGAGGAAAAAAAATAAGGACACGACAAATCAGACTAACAATTTATCAGTGAAAAATGAGGTTGCATGATTACCCCCAACAGACTGTCTAAATATACTTTGACTTTGGTGCAAATCAAAACCAGTGTATTTGTCATCAACATTATTCCATCTAACAAAGTGTACATACTGTAGTAGTATCTGTCTTTAAAATCGCATTTTATTTATTGCCTTTTTTAAAAAAAAGGCAGAGGGGATGCGGAAATAGAGACGTACTTTTTCACTAATATTAAAATCATCAAAACCCACAGGATTTAAATAACTGTTTTAATTTTTACCTGAAAATTTGTACTGCACCAAAGCTGAATGAATGCATTTTCTCATTTCAGAAACAGTCTTTGCATAAAATAATTAACAGCGTTTGAATCTCTGAATCACAAGCTTTTCTCGATTGCTGCTCCTGAAAAGGAGTACAGGCTTTTAAGAGACCTTTTTTTTTTTTAATGAACAGGTTGGTACATGATGTACTACTTGTTTTAAATAAAAAAAAAAAAAAAGGAGGGAAAAAAGGCTGTTTCCAATACCCTGTGCACTATTGTAATGTTTGGCTCTAGCTGTGCCAGGTGATTTTGGGGCACAGCAAAGGGCTTTGTTTTCCCTTGAGCTTCCAAGGGATTCCTGCCCTCTGCCTGCTGTGAGTGGCAGTTCTAATGGCCATGTGCACTGTAATCGAGTGAGGATCATTAGAGAAGGCAGGAAACAAGCACATGACTTAAGTTAGATAAGTGTACGAACCAACTTTAAATTTAGTTTTGGCATAAGCTTCGCCAAGCCATTAAAATTCATTTTGGGCCCTCCCTCCCTCCTTGCCTCCTGTTGATTTGACTGTGCTAATAGAAGATGTGATCAAGATTTTAAAACCCCTAAAGAAAAAAAACAGGTTTTCACTTCTCAGCTCCTCTCTCTTTTCCTCCCCCCCACCTCTCTTCTCCCTGTAGGTCATAGTGTTTTCATGCTCTTGGACTACCCCTCTTATGCTGCCATTACCACTGCTGTAGTTGTGTCCAGGGAAATGGTCTTCATATAAGCACAATAAATGTAATATTGGGTGAATACTGAGTTGGAAGTGTATTAGACTCGTGTAGTAGCAGCACACAGGATCTCAGTACGTCAGCAGCAAATACAGCACGTGCCATTTATTGCTGTAGGTTGACTGTTAGTGGAAGGCCCAGATCAGCTGAGATTACACTCCTGTGAAGCTTGACCAACTCTGTAGCAGGCCATTATAAATCAGCAATAAGTATTTTCTGAGTAAATACCTCACTCACAGGTGGAGCTCTTATTAGTGCTTCTGAGATAATGAAACCAAAGATAGATGAGAAAAACAGTTGAAGTCAGTTCTTAGTGGTTGTACTGCTCTGTGCTGTAAATGGGTCAGAATGAGCAGTATTAGTTAAATCCTTTGAAACAAAAGAAATTATTAAACCAGTTCCTATTTAGGTCAATTACTCAAAATAAACCGTTCCTAGAGAGCCCTTGAGACAAGCAACTCCAAGAGTATCAGGAGTTCTGAACTCCAATTGAATCTCACCGTTACTCTCTCTCAACCAAAGCTATCACACCTTACCTTTCCAGGAATACATTACATAAAGATTTCACTAGCTAACAGGGAAGGGGGTTAGAATTGACTTGAATCAGTATTTCATCTGTAAAAGATAAGTATGAAAAAGAAAGCGAAACAGATTTTCTAGGAGTGTGTTACAACTTCACTTCATCGTATTTTAAGCAGTGTATGGTGATACTGTTGTCTGAATTTTCAGAATGGTTATTGGATGATGCTGTGGGAACTGCTTTTTGCCTGACTGCTTTGAGTTCATAGAAATCCCCAAAGCCCAGGTGAAGAGGAGAGAAGGATGAGAATATTTTGTTGCATTTAGGGAGATGTATTTAGTCTCAGATGCTTGGGAGTTGTCCTCAAATAATAAAAAATTAAAAAAAAAATGTGCTGTAATAAATATGTATACATAATTGAATAAAAATATAATTTTTTAAAATTTATTTACAGTGTTTTTAAGAATCCCCTAAAATTTAGTAAAGTTCAAGAAATTTTTAATGGTCTGGCATTATAAAAATCAAATTATTCATCAAATTATTATGAGGCCTGCTTCTTGTAACAAGATTTTCCCTAAGAAAAGTCAAAGTAAACCTCTTGGGGCATATTTATCATATTTTTACATTTATTTTCTTGTGTTAACCTGTTAGACTTGGTATGGTAGAAACAGTGCAGACATTGCATCTCACATTCTGCACATGTGGGTGACTGAGGAATATTTCCTGGCATGATCAGCAGTAGAGCGTTGTCTTAGCATTTCTGTTTATTTTGGTATTTGTAGAGTAATTGCAAAAAACTCTACAAAAGAATATTTATTGAGGGAACAATTTCAAAAACTCTTGTCCACCTGAGAAGATGCTTTAATGAGCTCATATCCTGGAAATACTCAGAAGTTTTATCTTGGTCATAGTAAATCCTTCTTTTGACTCTAGTAACGAGGAATTAAATGTTCCTTCAGAGACACAAAACCAAAAAGCTGTTTGTTTGCTGAACTCACAGACAATATGGAATTCATATGGAATAACAGGCTTTTGTGTTCAATAATAGCATGAAGACATCCAGAGAGTCATTGGCAGATTTTGCTCAGTGCTGTAATATATTTATTTGTTTCTGCGTTCATAATTGTAATAAATTGATATCTGAATTTGATGAGGGACTATTGAACTGGGATCAAAGAGCCAGGCATTGTTAATCTAAATGAAAGCAAGTGTTTGTGCCACCGGTGTTAATGTGCTTTACAGTTAATGTGCTTTACAGTTTAATAAATATTACAGGACCAAATTACAGCTTAATAAATATTACAGAACAATCCAGATATAGAGTAGTCAGTTTAGCCAGTAGATGTTCAGAGAGGTGAGCAACAGGAATGTGCATTGACTGTTCCTTTCTCTTTAATCTGAAATTATAAAACTAACCCTGTCAGTTTTAAGTGCTGAATGTCTCTGATTTTGTTTTGGCTTTTCTGTGCGTTGTGTTTTGTGACTTTTTTTCCCCTCCGAAACGTTAAAAATAAGTGAAAAAGGAGGAAAAAAGTAAGCATGTTTACACTTCTTATCGCTCCCAGATTGCAGAGTACCTGTGGGTGGCTTAAAGCAGCTGTTTCTCGTGGTTACTTAACTTTCTTCTTTAAAACAGAGAAAGAAAGAAAAAAAAAACCAAAACCAAACCCCAAAACCACAAGAAGTCTAAATGTCAGAATCTAAAGGAAACCAAGAAACCTTTTCTCTAGGTCACCAGCTCCTCTGGCCAAGCACATTTATTCTCTCTGAGGGCCCTAATCTGTTCCAGCCAACAAGCAGTGATTTAGCCAATACTTATGCCCTTGTTCTGACCTCTTCTGCTGCAGGTGCAAACAACTACCACAATGAAAGGCAGGCTGCCTCCCACAATTTTATCACTTTTGGCTGGTGTTTGCTCCTTTGGTGGCAGAGCTGGCAGAAGAAGATGCTGAAGAGCTTTGAGGGTTTAAGTAAAGCTGCTGTCCTGGGTGGAGCTGGTGTGCAGGACCTTGACCCGTTCTATTGGGTGGGCTTGTGAGTGGCAACCTGGCCTGGGAGGGGACAGGGACAAGGTGAAGGTCTTCAACTATCCCAGCTAAATTTGCCAAAACCATTTCTTCACCTCCTTAGCCACATGTGGAAAAGCAAGAGGTTGTGTTCCAGTTGTTACTTGTTAGCAAATCTGAGTACTTTTTACGTGGGAAGATTTCATTTCCAGCAAAAAGTTTTGTCATGAGGATTTCAGGACTTGCACAGACCTGGGCATAGTATGCCATGAGAGAAAGACATACATACTAATACCAACTCAAAATAATTAGTACCCCAGTGGTTAGGGTGCTTGTGCTTACTGTATTTCTTGCTTTCTACAGTATCTTTCATTTTGAAGTTTATGCATGCTAACTATGAATATATTAAAGTCTATATCGACAGTAAGGGTGGCCTAATTAAGTAGAGTGTAAGAAGACTGTAAGAAACTATCTCTCTTTCTGGTCCAGTGAGCAAGAAGAGATTTAGACAATTTTCAAGAGCTCCAACTGCTGAGATGGATAAACTGGTCATCTTGAGGGGTTGTGAAGAAACACATCCAGTCATGTTCTGTGGTGCACAAGAGCAGCCAATTCCCAAAGTGTGCTCAGAGAATCATAACTATGCAGAAATGTCAAGGCTGGAAAGGACCTCTGGAGATCCCCAGCCCAACCTTTTGTTGAGAGCAGGGCCTTGAATTATGTTAACCAGGAGCAATAAAATTAGTTGCTGCTGCTTGTGAACACGTTAAGGGATAACGTACAGCTTTGTAATGCATTAAGGATGAATAGGAATAATCTCCTCTTTGCAACTCTACAGCATGCTTCAGTCTTAATTGCAAGCCCTCCTGCAGGAAGAAGGGAAATAATTAAGGCTGGTTTGAGTCTGCTTTTCTTTGTACTGTTGCATAACAGGAACAAATATAATTCTGTCAGTTGTGTTGTTACCAGGGCTCATTCAAAAATCAAAAGATGACAGTGGTTTTGTTTTATCGTTATTTTTTAAACTCTTCAATGGGATGATAATTTAGATAGAATGCAATTCTCTTAAAGCATTTCATTTTTTTTTTCCCCACCCATTCAGGTCAATTATTTCAATTTCTAAGGATGTATCATGTGGATCTTCCCTTTCTTCTCTGTCTGTGCTGCGTTGTCCTTCAAGGATAAGTCAGGGAGAGTAGAATGAACCAAAATGTGGCAGCAGCATTGCTCACTTTTGTTATCCTTTCATGCTTTTAGGTGACAGTGACTGACCCCAAATAAAAGAGTGGCTTTCCTGACTCAGAATAATGGATATAAAAGACAGAAGACACCGTTCCCTGACGCGGGGCCGGTGTGGGAAGGAGTGTCGCTACACGAGCTCTTCCCTGGACAGTGAGGACTGCAGAGTCCCAACCCAGAAGTCCTACAGCTCAAGCGAGACACTCAAGGCCTATGATCATGACACCAGGATGCACTATGGAAATCGAGTTTCTGACCTGGTTCACAGGGAGTCGGATGAGTTTCCAAGGCAAGGTATGTTTAAAGGCAGAGCTGGTTTCTTTGGGTAAAGAGTCTCTGGTCCTTGTTAAAATATACCAGTGTTACAAGGAGTTGGAGTGAAAGAACTGTAGGAGAATGGATGCTATTTTACCATTATTTCAAGTGTTTTGTGTTAAATTAGAAAGTTCTTTCTTTTCTTGTAAATTAGGCAAACCAAGATTTGCTGGTCTAAACTGCTGACAGACACAAGTGCTAGTGACCCTTAACCAGATGGTGTCTTTGGCATGGATCTTGGGGTCAGCCAATATGCTAACTTTCTATTCTGTTTCCTAGGTTAATTTTGGGATACTAGTGGCATTTTCACCTAAATTTGTCTGTCTTTAACACCTTACCTGTACTGAAAAGATTAATAATACCCTGTTATGGTAAAAACCCATAGGACCAACATGCATTCATTATTACCCAGCTGCCTTGGAATTCCATTCCTATGCCTAACTACTGTGGGAATGGGAATGCTGGTTCCTCTGACTTCATTTTGTCACTGCTTACCATCCACCTCATAAAAACTGAAAGGAGGAAACCCATCTAATTACTTCTGGAATTGGCTGCAATATGTTATTGCAGCATCGAGTCCCTAGAACTAATATTTGAAATTACCTGCCTGTGTGAACTTGTAAGCAAGGGGAAATAATCTCTTCTTTTAGAAAATGGTCGTTGCTTTAAACACCTGTTATGTCAATAGATTAATGAATAAGAAATTTAAACGTTTTTTAGTTGAAAAACCTGTGAACGTGCCTTTGCACTGTACATGCACATAGTTTTACTCTCAGGTATTTGCTTCTCTCAGTAAATTGTAAAGCTCTGTGTTGAAACTATTAGTGAACATGGCTTCATAGGAACGGTGTTTAACCATCTGGTTAACTCAAACAAATGGCTTGATTAAATTGGTACTCAGTCAACAATTAGTAATGGCTTTTAAATTTAAAGGACTTGGTTTACTTTCAGTTGAAGAATCAGATATGGTTTGTATACGGTAAGGTGTAGGCAAATTTGAGGCATAAATGTATAGCTTTTGTGCCCCTCTCAATGGAAGGTAAACTATCTAGTACATATTTAATTGTAGAAACTCTACTGATTTGTATATATGCCTGTTAATGGTGTGTGATAGTTCTCTGCTACACATTTCTAATGTTGTGACCCGGGGAACTTTAGGTTATCACACTTGTTTGTGGAAATCTTTCAGTGGAAGCTCATTTCTTGTACTTGATATCATGTTGTTGAAAGCGTTCTGCCAGCAGTCAGTGTCTGTCCTCACCTTTAGATCAAACTATCTAATAATTAGTATTGATAATTAAACCCTCGTCTAATCCCTTGTTTCTCTCCCATTTGTGTACAGGCATTTGGGAGTGTTTGCACTGTGCTTGGTCTATCAAACACCCAGTTCTATTTTCAGAGGTAATCTCTGTTCCTGTAGGGTCTTTCTTTGCTCATAGGTGTTTACCTAAGATAACACATCAAACTGCAACTGGAAGGTTTGAGCCACTGGAGCCACTTTCAAAGTGGTTTGTTCTGCCTTAGAGTACAGGAGTCATCTAAATATTACCTTTCCCTATCTGGATGATTGATGCTTCAGCTCAAGTGCCTCATTTTAGTTTCCAGGTCATTATTCAGCATTTCATGCTGGCCTATTTCTCTTGATTATTGATTTGACAACTGTTCATCCTCCTGCTCTTAATGTGTTCTTATCTGCCCTATTTATGAAGGGGAGTGCAAATTGTTGGTAACTGAATTGAAAGACTCAGGTTTGGGGTTTTTTTCATTACTATTTTTCCCCTGCTAGTCTGTGCTGTTGTGTCTAAATGAATAATCTTAGAGAGCCAAAGTAAGGTTTTTGGTTAGATAATATGAGCAGTAAGTCCTTATTTTCCTGCTTTTGTTGAGTTTGAAAAGCAAATTTCTTTAGAGAGTAGGTCAGTATGATGATTCTTTTTGATTGAACAGTTCTTCTATTGAGATGAAATTTGAGATAATGTGGCAAGTAGATCCAGATTAAGACTTGGTAGATGTTCTCACTTTCCACATTAACATTATATGGATAAAAATGTGGTTCATATAGTAGGAAATACTGTTCATTGCATCTTGTGCTTGCAGTTTCCAGCTGCAGACATCTAGGAATTTATACATGTAAATTTATTCTAAATTGAGTAGGTGTTTTGATGGGATTAAATTCTGTAGGAAATAAACATGCTTAAAACAAATAGTCTTTAGAGATTTTTTTGTTGTTGTTGTTTTTCTATTATAAAAAATCTTGACGTATATTTTTTTTGAAGCAATCGCAGATACATTCCTCAATATTTTATCTCTTCTTTTAGTAAAGCTAAATGTGTTTGACTTATTGCAGGGTATTTGGTTTCACCATGGCACTGGAACTGCTCACAGCAGCTGTTTTTAGCAGCTGCCTTGTCGTACATTACTGGGTTTTGAAAATCTGTGTAAGGCCAAGTTGCACTGCTACCATCTTTGATTATGATGGTTCCTCAGTGAGAGGCTAATAACAAAAACTATGTTCAGAGCTCAGAGGTCTGGGGTTGCTGCACTATTTTATTGTCTTTCTGTTCTGACTTGTTTTTCTCATGCTTCATGAAGAAGCTGATGGCTGAAGTATCAATACCTGCCTAAGCTGGTGTGAATAAAGCATTTAATAGGCAAACTATTAAATAGGACTGTTGGTGGAAGTTTAGCTCTGAGAATAAAAGCTTTGTCATTGTTTGCATGTTTTGAAATAAGCTTTCTGGGCTAATTTTTGACAAATGTGCCAAAACCAACCGAAATTTCTCTTTGCTGTGGGTGCTGCTTTGGTGCAGCATTTGGAAGTTTTGGCATAAAGTCATGAAGGATGACATGACTGATATTACCTGAAACATCTTAGTCTGGCATTACTTCTGGTGTACTTTTCTGAAGATGTTTACATATAACCTAAGGAATAAAATTCCCCTTTTAAACTCTGGTTTTTAACATCTCAGTAATAATATTTGTACAAAGTAATTCAGAATAGGTTTAGTATTTTTGTGCTAGCTTATTCTCTGAAGATCTTCAAAACAGATGTTCAGTGTCTTGGCTGAAATGACGGGTCCAATGCATGTTTGAGCTCCTCATTTGTCTTAGATTTTCCCTAGTTCAGATAGAAATGTGTTATAACTCAGTACTTGCCCTGGATATTCATTAGTCAATCGATCTGTAAAGTCCTTCAGTGGATCTGAGAGAGCATTCAAACATTACAGGATTTATTTAAAGCCGAGGAGTCCTTTTTGAATGCTGTATTTTAAGATGAATAGAAACTTCTATACTTCCTGCTAGGATATGTCAAAAGCTTAAGAATAGTTCTGACATCTCTGAATATCTGGAATATTTTGCAATCTCCTGGTAATACATGAATTTCTCTGTATGCCGAGTATTTTTCCACCAAAGTGAACCAATTATCAAACTTACTTTTTTTCCTTTTAAAGAAAATACTTACTTTGACTTCATTTGCTGACCCAGCACGGGGAAGGTACATGTTCTTTAAGGCAAAAAAAAAAATGAAGATTTTGAAAAACCTTTCTTTAAAGAGGTTTCTTTGAAAGGCAGCTTTTCTCAGAGTATATTCTATAAGTGATTTGTGCTTAAAAGACTGAGTTGTTAAGAGTTTTAAACTGAATTTCAAAGAGGTGATTGCAAACCTTACTATTGCAGAGGTCCTCACTTGACATTTGTAGCTCATGGATTTTGTGTTTCTGCCTGAGCCAAACTCTGAGCTTCAGCTGATGCAAAATTTATTAGCCAGTTGTTATACAGAATCCAGTGCTTTCTCCTTCTCAAGTCAGATCTAGTTTAGCAATAAATCTCTGCTGTGAAATGTTAGAGCAACCAGTGTATATGATTGAAGTTACTGAAATTAGGGCTAAAACCCACAAATCAGATTAAACAGGACCCAACAGTCTTCTGAAATATTTAGAATTTTTTTTTTTACCGATGTTGAAGTGCTTTGTGTGTGTCACAGCACCTCTCTGTATGGTGAGATCATTTCAGTAAAGAACAGCTGCTGATATCAGCTCAAATTCTATTTTTTGTTCATTTATACTTAAAAATTATGTGCTTTTTGTATCCTGTTTAATAGTATAGCTATGTTAACAGGAGTTAAAAAAAATATAGTGACAATGATTATAATAAATCCCTTATAATGCCCCTTAAGATTGTCTGGAATATTTATTAACATCAAGTAGAAAATGAAGTTATCACAGTAGAATTCTCAGAGAGGGGCACTTGGGAAGTGTAATATACTCAATTTCTTTCCCATGAAGTTGTGTTACCATGCCATACTAATCACCTCTTGGCTGTTTCATGCTGCATATTTTCTCCTCATATGTTGGAAAAACAAATAAAATCAATTAATACAAAAAACCAAACCAAAGCAACCCAGACCACCTTGATGAATCTAAATTTTATTTGTTACAACCTACTCCGGGGCAGCTCTGATCGCTGAGAGAAATGAATGTTGTTTTCTCATCTGATTGTTCTTCACATCATAAATCTGTCACCAAAGAATTTACTGGGACACACTCAAAGAACCACACGGCGGAAGGAACATTTCAGGAGGGTGATTAAACCTGTTCAGTTCCTGTGGTCAGATATTGGGTGTCAGCAGTGACTCATGTGCTACTGGAGAGGGGACAGTCACTGTTACAGGTTCTTGTCCTGACTAGACTTTCCCTCACTCCTCATATTCCCAGTAACACCAAGATGAGCTTTTGATCACCTTGTCATCAAACACGAGTTGTACTCAACTCTTCGGCTCAAATTAATATATCCCTTCCAAATCCAAGTTTTGGCAATTTCAGTTTTAGTACTTCTTTCCAGAACCTGTGACCTTTCGAAAATTAACTGTTTGATACATAGATTTGGATTAAGGACATTAAATAACACTTTTTCTTGTATTCTGGTTTCCTTTGTCATGTGAGGTTTTTTTGAGTGGCATTCTGCAATCTGTTGATTTT